GCTCGAGTTCGCGAACTGGCTGAAAATTTACGCGTGGCGAAATCATTGCAGAAAGAAAACAAGTGCCCTTTGCTACTAATCTCTTCGCGATCTCCTCATTTTCAAACTACTCAGCAGGAACTGTACCCCTGCAACTGTGTTGAATGAACCCAATCATCCTGAAATTCCTCTTTCCTTTGATCCATCCGTCAGCTAATGCCAAAGCAGCTTACTTTGAGATCAAATTTCGATCTCACAATGCGCTACCCAATAAAGTCAAGTAGTATATTGAAAGTGAAGATTAAGTTTATCGTGCCATCGTGTTGTCCGCGTTCAGTTTGCCAGGTTTACTGACACTGTGCATCTGCATGACAGATGTATATCCATTGGTGGCATCAATGTCCTTCACTGTTTCTAATTCGATTTTGCGCTACATCTCCTCCTCACTAGGCACTGAGCATCGGCTTTATTCTGGATGTCAAAACACGCCAAAGGTCTTGCCAAATGGAGAAAACAACCCTTTGTTCAACGGAGCAAACAAGAAGTGAATGAGATCCATTTACTGCAATCTACTTATTGTGACAAGTATTAAGCACTGAATTAAGCATTTGCATTTCCGAGGAAATCTAATGAGCCGATTCGAATGAAACAATCAGTGGATAATACATTCGGCAAATGTTTCGGGTTGAGCGGCGTAACGACATTCCGTTCACATCTTCTTGGAGAACTTCCATGCCACACTGGTCACCAAACGCGGTTTCTTATCTGACCGCGTCCAATATTTCATTCCTCCCAATTTCTACTAGTTCACTCTTTTCCGTCAACTCTTGTGTGTCATACAGTACACCATTCCAATTTATCACCAATGCACCACAGGTGAAACAGAAGTCTTCAAATGCCTCTAATCGTGTCTGACATGGGAACCTTGTAAAGCTCCCCGTAGTAAATCCTGGCAAGATGGGCTTCAGGCTTATTGTCCTGGTGATATCTTCCTTCACCCACCATCTTACTTCTTTGGATCAGCCGTTTCATGGCTATCCTCTAGTTGCATCTCTGTTTTCATGCCGGGTGCGCCAAACACACTTTTAGTATTGACCACTGAACAAATAGACGAAGAGATACCCGAACATACTAAGCCTTTTAATCGACTGAGTAAACAAGATGAACATCATATTACGTAATGGGAGTGAATAGAATCGGTTCGTTTCCCGCAACTGGAGTTCAGGTTTCACCCAATGCGAAAACATACGGCCACATAACCGTTGATTTTGACAGGACCTATATATTTTATCTGGAAATTGTCTATTCTCTAAAACACTTATGGATCACTATGTAGATGTCCGATCAACGCGCTTCTCGAATAAGCTTTCCATTGGACCAGCTTTGCGCATGAAAGTTTTCTTTGCATTTTCACTACTTAAATAAAATGAAGTAGCCACAACTGGATCGGATCGGAAAGACAAGACAAAACAGCGAGTTGGTTTAATCTACTCGAACAACACAGGATGAACACATGTAGTGCACAGTTATAAGACTTTGTTTTTATCTGGCCAGCTGAACACTAAAGTCGGTCAGTTTCCTCGAGGCAGACGAAAGCAGTATCATGGAGACAGTCAATCAATATTTCAACCAATCTGTTCCTAAGGCAAGGTCCTTTGAGTGCATGCTGACTTGCCATTGTTGGCTCACTGAACTGTAAATGCTATGGAAAAAAATAGATGGTGTTTCGTAACTAAACTGATGGCCATCATCTTGAATATGCGTTACGAGGCTGTAACACTCACTCGGTGCCTAAATGCCATACCACCCGAAGGAGGTACGAGGGCTGGGATACTACCAGGTTGCCCGAGCCTAGACAGGGGGTTTCGAGAGACAGAGGCAGGCAACCTACCAGGCCAGTTTTCAGGCCTAGTTCTGAACTCCGGCTGCCTGCTAACCAACCCATTTCAGTAAAGAAGTACGTGTTCCAATAGGATCTCACACAACCCGTAGTCTGTTCTGCAAATGCAAGTTTCATCACAACTACACGTGAATTGATGCGTACCCCTACTCAAACCGATTCACATCGTTGTGGGGAGCCAGAAAAATAAGTCAGGAACTGAACCCTGGAGGTCGTTGGTGAGTTTCCCCAAATTCTCCAAACTGGTTAGGGAGAGCACGCTACTGAGATTTTATAGTCACATTCCTGAAAGATTCACAACAAGAGTGAACAGCCTAGATTCAAAAAGGAACCACAGTTGAATCATTCAGCTAATTCCCTGTCCGGTCCACGGCTTTCAAACAACCCGAGAAAGGGCTGAAAACGTGCCAGGTTAACCAATCCTGGACAGGCACAATCGGAAAACTGGGGTTGATACAATCTGTCAGTTTAGTCGACACCACACCTTGCAGTGATCTGTTATGACTCGGCCATCGTATGACAACTAGAACTCTACTGATGACGACTTGACCATCGTATGACAACTAGAACTCTACTGATTAACTGGTGGTAGTCTGTTGTAGCTCAGGAGGTCAATCGTCGTTGTGCACTTCAGAAACTGCTAGCTCACCCTCATTTAGGTCAGGATAAAACATTTGAAGGACAAAATGACAAATCCCCAGGCATAGTCATAGACCTTGGGGTTTAGCCTATTACAAGCACCACTGAAAATGCGCAATGGACAGAGCCCGTTGATCACTGCTCTAGATGCTCTAGATGCATACTCATATACAACGACCCATCAGGATCGATATACAAATCAACTGTCCATTAATTCGTATTCGAGAAGGGTGTGACATTATCGTGTCGACAACTAATTCGTGTTCACGACTGCTCCAAACAAGCTGTGGTGTCCATCCTAACAGTAGTGCGCTTTAAAAAAACAGGCAAACCGACTCAGTGGTTTGAGCTGCATTTTAGCTGCAAACTATGCTGTAGTGATTCTCGAAATCGAATGGACAGAGATGATCTACTCCAATCACAAAGATCTTGTTAGGTATGATAACAATCATTGCTTTCAGACCAAAACCATCATTCGAGTTAGGGGCGCTGTCTTTGATCACCTCTCATAATCCTTTCAGACAAGACAAGATCCTTATGAGACAATAAAGTTTCCAGAAGCATATGAGGACCTGGTGAAAATAGCACAAAAGTAGTCCATAGTTCAGCGTCCACTCCTTTGAGAATCCGGCAAGCCATTGTACGTTGGTTACGGAGAATGACATGTGATTTCGAATACCGGCATGTACTTTTACGCATCATTCGTTCCAAAAAAATCCCATCAAATCGCCAAACGGGAGCATGTCGACACCACCAAAATTCGTCCAAGGAAGTGGACTTTCAGAATAATATATATTATGTCATAACGCATACATGGTAAGTTGGTACTACGCTCAGTCTAATTCATTTTCTTCAGGAAAACTCCGCAAAGGAAGCACGGGGAAATCCTTCCATTTATATCTGCTGCAATTATCTATCTGGGAGTCAACAGCAAAAAGATTCATAAACACACAGTTCCCAAACTTTCCGCCAAATTGGGCCCAAAAGGCAGTGAGGAATCAGTCGCTTGTTGGGGAGCCTAAATGATGAGTTTCACGCAGGAAATTCGAAAAAAATCAGTAGTAGTTTAGTGCTCAGAGTTCCGGATTAAGTCGAGTGGTTAAATCGAAATCAGGCCAACCAACCAAACACGACTGCTGGCTTAGATCAAGTGAATTCACTGAGCTATGACTCAGGAGTCGGTCCAAAAACCAAACACTCCCGGTGAATCTCCTGGTTCCCGATCTGCGTGCTGCTTCCAGCAGTACATTGTGATCATGTCGGCTCATTAGTTGAATCAAGTCTCGCTATTCACAACCTACCTGGAAGAATACAAGGCAATGAATAAACAGCCTGGAGACCAAACTATACATGGCAGTTTACCCCATCACTGAATACTTGCAAGACTAGAACGTCTAAGATTTCTATCAAAACCATGAAGTGTCCTGAAATCGACTAACTTCATAGAGAGTTCCAGACCGGGTGTTTACCTGAATACTGTCGTGCTGTGCTCATCTGATAGGAAAAAAGAAAGAAGCTGGAATCAATTAGTCAGTGGATCAATTATTGATCAACAAAGAACAGGCTTTAATTCAGGCAATGGGTCACGGAGGCAAACGTGTCCCATAAAAAGTTTCACTCACTAAAAAGCAGGTTCCCATAGTAGGAGATTACAATCAACAAGAGAGAGAGACAAACCAGATACCACAAGAAAGGTATATTAGTGGTAATAGTCGCGTCAGTCGTAGTAAAATACTGGTAAAGCTGACAAGAGTTCACGGCAAGTGAAAGCACCCGGTGAGCGGTTAAGTCATTCAAAACTGGTCAAATACGTCTTCTGTCGGTTAGCACCCGGATGATGCAACCAGACTTGCCCCGCGCGTGGACCTGAGAAGTGAGAAACAATGGACATATGGTTAAAATTGTGGTGAAAAGCACATTTATGGTCGAATTTGAGGCGACAAGACTCAGGTGTGTCAGAAAAAGTGGAAAACAAACCTTGATAACTTCATCCCACAATTTAGCTATAGCATGCCTTCGGCGCACCTGAAGGAAGCCTGTGGGCTAAGATGCCATCAAATGTGCTCTGTCTTAGGCGACACTAACTCCTGAGTTTGAGTTCGAACCACGGTCATTTTGGTCGGTACCCCAAATTATGGCACCCGAGCAATCTGGAACTCTTTGAATACCAATACAGCCAATCGATCTTGGGTTTACGATTCTCGATCCAAAAGATCCAATGAACTTCAATAGCAAGCTCAGCTCGACTGCTTATGATAAAGAAGTTATTACGCCTAACATCGTCTGACGCTCATGGAGGACTTCCTAAGCATCAGGCGATCGCGGGAAGTCACGAAAGATACGGGTATTCGGACAACCGTAACCTACTAATGTTTTGCCCTGAATATCTTGTTGGCGTCAAGTGACGCCTTAAAAGACGGATTCCACGGTTAGGAATACATACAATATATATATATATACATATATATATATATGACACCAGTTTGAAGTCGGCATTTACATAGATCAGTAAAACCATATGTTAGTGAAGTACTAAGTTATCTCGAACACGTCGCTTACTGGCCCTAATCAATATGCACCCTACAAGACAAAAAGTGTCAGCAACAGATGCGACACTCATACAATAACGGATCACATGATGAACTACGTAGCCTGCACAGTAGGTCACGTGATGCAACCTGATATTTAACAGTAAGAAGTAATGCGGCACATATACAGCAGCAACAAACTCAAGGAAAGGTAAAGTACTGAAGGGGACTTAAGAATTGGGTAGCCTAATCATTTGGGCGGCTGCAATTGGCCGTTATATCGGCTCGTTCTTCAAGCTTTTTCACGTTTCTTTCGCCCGATTTATTTATATACCACTCTTCGGGTGGAGATTAGCAAAAACGCGACCCAGTAACTAGCTCACGTAGCCAGCGTCATTACCCATCGGCTTGCTTAGTCCCAAGGCCCCCCTCCGAGAAGACAGCAGTCACCCACAGGACTGAGTTGAATGGCCCTTCGTTGCCAAATCATGAACTGATCCCCTCCCGGTTCGTCTTCATCCGGTACAAGGCTAAATGAAGAGGGCTGCACGGCCCTATGGCATACGAAGCACATGAACTAACCTTTGGAGTATGAACAGTTAATCTATTGAGGAAGAGCGAACTATTTCGAAAACTATATGGCATACCTCCAAATTACTCATCTGATGCCCTCAAAATATCCCCACAACGCCTTAATCAAGCATAGGGACTCTCCGAATATTTTCCCCACATGCTGGCCACGTTTCTGAGCCATAAAACGGAAGAGATAGGACTGCAACATCCTATCCTTGACAGTCAAGCTGGTGTCAGTACAGTGCCACAAATTTCTGAGGCTAGTAAACGCTGTCCTGGTCTTCCTATTTCGGGGAGTGGTTTCGTCTTTCGCCAGACCGTCTGAACTTATGCAGCTGCTCAGGTAGACGAACTCAACTACCACATCGATTGGTTCACTTCCAAACATGAGGGTGGGGTTTGACCCGGCCCAATCTTGCAGTGACACCATGCCTTACAGGTGAGAAGCACATACCAAACTGCACGATAAAACACTACAACGTGATTAAACTGCTGATATAATAATACCATATAATTATATATACATCTTAAGGTGTAATCCAAAAAGAGTAATATCATCGGCGTACTCAATATCCGTCAGCGGAGTCCCCAGGAGTATTTCGATCCCCGGGATGTTAGAAGCACGTAAAGAAAATTCAAACAGCACACCGATTACGAAGCTGGAGAGAAAGAGAGATAGACGAACCTCTCGTCTGACACCAATGGATGTGGTGAACTCGGGAGGGATTTACCGTCCACGAGAGGAGGCACATGAAGTTTTTATAGGAGACAAGTATTTATAAGGGACGCCCTTCCTTACCAGACTGCCACAGTTTCCGACATTCAGCAGAGTCAAAGGCAGATTTGAGATCGAGAGATGCATTCAATGTATTTCTTCGGAAGTAATGGCGCGTTCCAACACTTGACAGTGTGAAGAAATAATCTATGCAGCCATGACCGGAGCGAAACCCAGGTTGATTTTTACGAATCTGAAACTTCCGATGACAAGTCAACATGCGCAGGATGACGCCAGAGAATTCCTTGGAAGCTATAGGCACTAGGTTGATGCCCCGGTGCTTTTCACACGATGGTCTTGCACTCATTTTGATTATAAGAATCACCGTCGAGACGTTCCGTTTCGTTGGAATTACCTCTTATTCCAAACATTGTGTAGTGGGGACACTCAACTTGCCATGACGGACTTGCCAACTTCCTTTAAGAGTACAGGGCGTACACCAGCTGGTCGATGTGCATTTTCGTGTTAATTGGACTAGCTGAATCAGAGCACATGTTTTCCTATTACAAAAGCTCTCTCTATTTCTTGGGCTTTTGTGATGCACCAGTGCTCTGTCAATCATTAGGTTAATTATTCTGCATGCGCCAACACAATCGTCTGTTGCTGGTATATTTTTCTGGCAGCAATCAAAGCCGCTAACGTGATGGGATACAGTTTCATCGGGCTGTGAGCGACCCTGGTGGACAGTACCTAAGGCTGTGAGTATGACGTCTTTCACCGTTCACCAATCGTTGCACCCTCGTATTCTGGAATCTTCTCAGCCAAATCAACCTTTTATAATTGATAATGATATTGAAACATGAATGGGAATCCAATCTCCCGAGGGAACCAAGTTGAATGAGACACATACCTTCTCATGCCAAGTCAACAGGGTGGCATTGGTTACGTCCTGAGGTTGCTGCTCGAACCCGCGATAAATATACTTCATTAACAAATCTATCTTCGGTTCATCTAAACCCGCCACAAATTCATCAATATTTTGCGCTTTGATTTGGGACAACAGACGCATTACGTATCTGAAAGCGGTATCTTTCAGAGCCTGATCTTTCGAGTTGATAGGGGCGTTCTGAAGCACAAGTGCCAGGGCTTCATCAAACTTGGCTCTGAATTCGTAGTGGTGAGTGAATGAGGAATAACATAATGCCAAAGTACTTTTCCAACAGCCCACGAACATCGAATTCGTTCAGTTTCGTTGCAGAACTGTCATCTGCTTGTTCGTCCTGAAAGGCTGATTCCGTGTACTGATCAACATCAACTTTGCGGAATTTTGTGTCCCCGGTATTCTTGGCCATATTTTCTGAAAGAGAGAAAAGAATATTGATGTCACGCAACAAACTTCAAGGACTATAGTACGCGTGTCTGCAGCACTTAGTTTACCTCTAATATGATCCTGTATTCTCGGGAGCCGTGTATTGTACATATACACTCCCAGGATCACCATCATCATTGTCAGCTGTAAGCGCAACAAACGGACTATAGTACGCGTGTCTGCAGCACTTAGTTTACCTCTAATATGATCCTGTATTCTCGGGAGCCGTGTATTGTACATAACATATCCCAGGATCACCATCATCATTGTCAGCTGTAAGAACCGCGTACCCGTCGTACAGTGGTTGTAGCTGCGGATTGCACGCGCGAGCTGGTAAATTGGTGCATAAACCCAGCACTGCCAGTGGGCTGTCAAGTGGTGAGGGGGTTGGAAAAGGAGCTATGCATTGAAGGCAATGGCTTGGATGCACGAGCGCCATTAAGGTCGCGACTGGGCCGTATCTGACAATGTCTCTAGCCATTGATGTGGCCCGTCTCGGGGTCCCCATCCAGGAAGACGGCAGTGACCAG